AATCTGATTCTACAGTTCTTCTTTTCTGGAAATGCGGTTGATGAAGATGATTATGATGATGATGCTAAAGAAGTAGTTTATCATTATTATATCCTAATGCTGAAACGGATTCTACAGTCCTTCTTTTGTGGAAATGCGGTTAATGATGATGATTATGATGATAATGGTAAAGAAATAGTATCATTATTATATCCTAATGCTAAATCTGATTCTACAGTTCTTCTTTTCTGGAAATGCGGTTGATGATGATGGTAAGTAAATAGAGTATCATTATTATATCCTAATGCTGAAACTGATTCTCCAGTTCTTCTTTTCTGGAAATACGGTTGATGATAATGATTATGATGATGGTAAAGAAATAGATTATCATTATTATATCCTAATGCTAAATCTGATTCTACAGTTTTTCTTTTTTGGAAATGCCGTTGTTGATGTTGATGATGATGATAGTAATGATGATGTTTGCTACGCTAGTGCGGATAGTGATGCCATTCATAATGATAATGTCGATGCTGATGCTGATGAATATGACAACGATAAGAAGAATGTTTTACAACAGCCGATAGAGATTTTGTTACCCCAGAGTAGTCCTGACACTGACAACTCGACAGTGTGCCGGAGATTTTGCAATCCCACGTGAAGTGTCGGTCCAAGATAAATAAACGTAACACAATAAAGTAAATACAATCATCCATCTAAGAGCCGGTAGACAGCCTGAATGAATGGGAGAAAAGACGGACCGATGGAGAGATAGACAAGTGGGAGTACAGGGAATGTGAATTGGCTTGTTGGTAGATTTGTAGGCGTTGAAGGGAGGCCACGAGGCCGGGCGGGATTGGGCCCAAGCCCCCACGCGAAATGAATCACGGACTCGGCGTCAGTGGCCGGGCGTGAGGGATGATAAGGGGCTTCACGTGTGGCCGGAGGGTGGGAGATTGAAGCTTTGTCGCGAAGCGGTATGTCACTTGATTGCACACTTTGCATTATCCCACTTGCGTGCGTGAAGCGGACGACAAACTTGCCGATTGTTTACATGTCGGCGAGAGGGACGAGCACGAGGCGAGGAGCAATCGGACGTCGGATTAAAAGATAAGCTCGGGTGAATCAACATTTTGTGGAAAAATGCACGCACGCTTTTATCTCGACAGACGACGAGAGTCGAGATAAAACTGGCCACGAAGGTGATGAAAAATACCTCCGATCCTACCCCATCCGATCTCAGCCAATCCGAGCAAACCTGATCTGCTCCGATCCCAATAGACCAGATCAGACCGTGTCCCATCCAAACTGACCCGATCCAAACCCATTCGGTCCGAGCAAATCTGATTCTATCCGGTACGATACGAGTAGACCAGATCACATCGTGTCCCATTCAAACAGACCCGAT